AATCCTTTAGATATTTATGTGCTGTGAGCGCTGTCTTAACCCCAGCACACACACATACAGCAGATGCAGATACATTCGCAGATTCAGATACAGATACAGATACAGATTCACACACAGATGCACTAGCAGTTGCTTAGCGAAGAGATTCCGTGCGGACAAGCTGAGCACAGCAGAGGTCACATCAAGTAAATAGCAACGTCGTCGAGGCAAACAAATACGCAAACATTTATAAGACTGCTAAGCTCATAACGAAATGCACTTACACTCGAGTACAAGCAGACTAACACACACACACACACACATGTAGGGTGACCACCATTCCCTCTTGGATTTTTGCCATGCTAAACACGCGAACACTGAGCCAAACGAACCAAAGAAATACTAATGTATTTTTTCTTGAAAAATATATGAGTAACTTTGGTATTATTTTTCAATTGTCTACATCTAAATGTTAGATGATATGGAATTTGGCCAGTAGAACATCTGGTTGCAATAACTTTGCTTCCTGGCCAGATATCATGATCCAGTGCCAGTTCTCGCCGTGTATCAAGTATACGCCAAGTGGGACGAGCTACAAGCGAGCGCAGGAGCTCATCTCCTATTCATGCCGATGTCCTGGGACAATGTCAATGGAACCGCGATGCACAGTCGCTTTTCAGCTGGCTTAGCCACCGCTCAGCGGTGCACTAATGGCCCCCAATCGCGGGATCGGGATCAGGCCAAAAATATGCTGAGCCGATTGTGCAGCTGGCCAAAATGTAATTAACTGCATATTCCCTGGGAAATAAAGATATTCGGATGCGGGCAGCCGCCATCGCGTGTCACTCGATTTCACTCTTGCACCCGCATTGCACACTCACACACACTCACACACATATTCACTTGTACTGGAAATTCGCACCGCCCGAACTTGCACACTTTCCTCCTCTCGTGCTCGCATCCTTTTGCCCTCATGTCCGCGCATATTAAAAGTTTAATGTAAATGTAATGAGTGCCAGCGCATGCAAATGAACAGTTTGGCTTTGGCCCCTGAGCCACGCCCTCCGCCCCGCCGCCCCCCGGCCCACTGAACCGCCCATCAGCCCAACGCCTTTATTGCTTTTGCGGTTGCAGCAGCTGTGCGGTATCCACGTTGGCCCACTGCTAATGAGTTGAGTCACTTAAATACATTGAAAGCGGTGCGAAATTTAAAGCATATTTAGCGCGGTTCCCAGAACGGATTGTTCCTTCAAAATAGTCAGAGTACCCAAAAGCAGCTGAGGTTTTTATTCCCGTTACTCGAAGGGTAAAAGGGTATACTAGACTCGTTGAAAATAATGTAAAAGGCAGAAGGAAGAAAAACTATTTTCCACGCCCCCTCTACCCACATTTTTAAAAATGTTAGATTATGGTCGGGAAATCGACTATAGCATTCTAACTTTTTTTTCTCAATTTATCTTAATCGGATTTTGGCTCAATTCTTAAAAAATCTGCATTCAAATTTAGAAATTTATTTTTTTTCAATTTTTCTGATGTATGATGTTGTAGAAATCCAAAAAAATGAAAAAATTTCCCAAGGCTGAATTTCTAAACTCCATAACTCAACTTATTTTAATCGGATTTTGAAGTGGCATACCTCTAAATGTTTCTGGCGCAATTCTCTAAAAATCTGCATTCAAATTTAGAAATTTATTTTTTTTGAATTTTTTTTCAATTTTTCTGATGTAATGATTTGTAGAAATCCAAAAAAATGAAAAAATGTCCCCAGGCTGAATTTCTAAACTCCATAACTCAACTTATTTTAATCGGATTTTGAAGTGGCATACCTCTAAATATTTCTGGCGCAATTCTCTAAAAATCTGCATTCAAATTTAGAAATTTATTTTTTTTGAATTTTTTTTTCAATTTTTCTGATGTATGATGTAGAAATCGAAAAAGGCCCTCAGGCTGAATTTCTAAACTTCATAACTCAACTTATTTTAATCGGATTTTGAAGTGGCATACCTCTAAATGTTTCTTGCGCAATTCTCTAACAATCTGCATTCAAATTTAGAAATTTATTTTTTTTTATTTTTTTTTCAATTTTTCTGATGTATGATGTTGTAGAAATCCAAAAAAATGAAAAAATGTCCCAAGGCTGAATTTCTAAACTCCATAACTCAACTTATTTTTATCGGATTTTGAAGTGGCATACCTCTAAATGTTTCTGGTGCAATTCTCTAAAAATCTGCATTCAAATTTAGAAATTTTTTTTTTTTGATTTTTTTTTTCAATTTTTCTGATGTATGATGTTGTAGTAATCCAAAAAAATGAAAAAATGTCCCAAGGCTGAATTTCTAAACTCCATAACTCAACTTATTTTAATCGGATTTTGAAGTGGCATACCTCTAAATGTTTCTGGCGCAATTCTCTAAAAATCTGCATTCAAATTTAGAAATTTATTTTTTTTGAATTTTTTTTTCAATTTTTCTGATGTATGATGTTGTAGAAATCGAAAAAAGGCCCTCAGGCTGAATTTCTAAACTCCATAACTCAACTTATTTTAATCGGATTTTGAAGTGGCATACCTCTAAATGTTTCTGGCGCAATTCTCTAAAAATCTGCATTCAAATTTAGAAATTTTTTTTTTTTTAATTTTTTTTCAATTTTTCTGATGTATGATGTTGTAGAAATCGAAAAAAGGCCCTCAGGCTGAATTTCTAAACTCCATAACACAACTTATTTTAATCGGATTTTGAAGTGGCATACCTCTAAATGTTTCTGGCGCAATTCTCTAAAAATCTGCATTCAAATTTAGAAATTTATTTTTTTTAAATTTTTTTTTTCAATTTTTCTGATGTATGATGTTGTAGAAATCGAAAAAAGGCCCTCAGGCTGAATTTCTAAACTCCATAACACAACTTATTTTAATCGGATTTTGAAGTGGCATACCTCTAAATGTTTCTGGCGCAATTCTCTAAAAATCTGCATTCAAATTTAGAAATTTATTTTTTTTTAATTTTTTTTTTCAATTTTTCTGATGTATGATGTTGTAGAAATCGAAAAAAGGCCCTCAGGCTGAATTTCTAAACTCCATAACACAACTTATTTTAATCGGATTTTGAAGTGGCATACCTCTAAATGTTTCTGGCGCAATTCTCTAAAAATCTGCATTCAAATTTAGAAATTTATTTTTTTTTATTTTTTTTTCAATTTTTCTGATGTAATGATTTGTAGAAATCCAAAAAAATGAAAAAATGTCCCAAGGCTGAATTTCTAAACTCCATAACTCAACTTATTTTAATCGGATTTTGAAGTTGCATACCTCTAAATGTTTCTGGCGTAATTCTCTAAAAATCTGCATTCAAATTTAGAAATTTTTTTTTTTTAAGTTTTTTGTAATTTTTTTGATGTATGATGTAGAAATCCAAAAAATGGCCTAAGGCTGAAGTTCTAAACTCCATAACTCAACTTATCTTCATCGGATTTTGAAGTGGCATACCTCTAAATATTTCTCGCGCAATTCTCTACAAATCTGCATTCAAATTTAGAAATCCTTTTTTTTTAATTTTTATTGTAATTTTTTCGATGTAGAAATATTGTATTTTTCGATACTCGTAGAGTAAATGGGTTTCCTATATTCCATGAATAGTATGAACAGGCAGAAGGAAGCGTTTCCGACCATATAAAATATATAAAGTCTTGATCAGGATTAATAGCCGAGTCGAACTGGCCATGTCTACGAACGCCTAGATCTTCTAGATACATAACAGAGACGTAACGGGTACCTGATAGTCGGGGAACTCGAGAATAGCATTCTATCTTGTTTTCGAAATTGGATTAGCCATCCACACGTATAAATCAATCTACACCGATCTTTATAGTAACTGGTTGAAACGCGGAGAGCCATCGCGGCTTATTCGATGACAAAGTCAGAAGTCGCTTGCTTGACCATCTGCCATATCCGCCGTCAGGAATTCCACAATTTCGAGAGATTATTTCGTTGTCAGCTTGGACCGGCGACCGTTAATTGAATTGGCTTCTTCGCGCGACGAGCTTGGCACATCTGCTCCATTTGCTATATTTGGGCCAGATGTTTCACCTGGCCACGCCCACATATACATTCATACGCGCACAACCACACACACAGGCACACTCATATAGATGCGACATCGCATCGCTTACACGCACGTGCGCACTACTACATAGGCAGTGGCACGCCCCCTATCACACCTTAATACGCATTCATGCATACCAAACGTTGAGTACGAGTGCCAGGACGAGATCCTTACCCATTTTGGTAGGGGGATGCGGATGCGGATGGGCAAATGTTGGCAATGAGTCCCAATGAGTCGCAATGATGATGGTGCCTTACACATTTTCTCAGTTTCCCAGTTTCCCAGCCTCCCAGTCTCGCAGTTTCCTTTGCTGTCAGGCCAAAAAGGGCGTTTAATTAAATGAAGTCGTTTGCATTAATGTTGTCATTACGCATTTGCCTACGGAGCCCTTCGGAAAAAAAACAAACAAAAAATAGGCGAAATAGAGCAAGATGCACAAAATTCATTACTTAAATGAGGAGCAGGTGCCTGGCCTTTGTTACCTGCTAAGAAACATAAGCTGAATTCGTGTATCCATTGCCATTTGGGTCCATTATGAATGCCATGCTCCGGAATGAAGAAACCGGTGAAGAGCAGATTCCCCACCCATCCAAATTCAATTCTCGCTCGCATCAACCGATTTTACTCACTCCGGCCAGCCCAGTATCGAATTTTCCACTTACGTTTCACAGCTCTGGAAAAACAGGTTTTTAGTGCTTTATTGCCATTCTAGGTGCAGGAAGTGTGGACGTCAATTACAGCCACAAGCACAGGACCGCGGTTCTCAGTCGCACTTTGTGCCTATTAAGAGTATTAAGAGTAGTGCCCATTGAGTTACCATGTCACAAGTCCTGCTCATGGGCTACCCTGGTTTCTAACCAGGTGTTACTGGTTTTATTATCAGTTTAATTTGGGAGCTTAGATCGAAAATTCAAATACAAAGTGTTTGCTTTCGAACAGGATTGCACTGTTGTATATTTTTACGCCTGAATAACTTTAAAATTTTCAAATCACTTGATGGAGTTTAGCGTTTTGCGATTTAGACAGCCATGAGCTACATAGCACAGTATGAACATGATGGCTGGACGCGTCCCATTGATGCTGGCGAAGCCATATGCCGTTTTCCTGATCCACCTTATGCCGCTAAACACGTCCGTATAGACAGACGGAACTTTGGTGCAACCGCAGCCAATCGGATAGGCGACAATGCCGACAACCACCTTTCCGGCTAGTAATGGGGATCCGATGTCGCCGCTGCACGGATCCCCTTCCACTGTCCCATTATTTTTACCAGCACACATCATTCCATCCCCGTAGTGCCGGAAATGCGTCTTACACAACACGTTATCCATGAGAATCACATCCAATTGATATATGTGCGCTGCCAAAGGGCCGCCCTGGAAATGGTTAAAACGATTAAAGAAAACACTGGAAATACACGGCATTTTCAGTAAAACGCCGTACAAAATACATTCTTCCCCAGCCGAGGACTGTGTGTTTTAAGCCAATTTTCGGTGCCTCACTCGGCAGGTGAAGGAAACCGATACGTGGATGATTCAAGGGCATTTTCTCCTGCAGTTTCATTAGAGCCATGTTGTAGGTGTTGTGCATGGTGAAGTTATTTGGAACGTACAGACTTGTCACTGGCGAGCAGATCGATTTTCCGGGTACATATCGCAGTCTATGTGGAGATCCGGCCACCACCAGCAGCCACCGAGGCTTGTACATGATCTTCGACTGTCTAAATGATCAGGGATCCAGTTAAGTGAAGATCCATTACTGGGACAACAACCTACCCCATGACACAATGGGCGGCGGTAAGCACCCATTGGTTGGATAGAAGTCCTCCTCCGCAATAGTGATTGTCGCCAAAATACTTGTTGGGGGTTCTCGATCGGATGGACACCACGTACTTGGCCAACTCGAGGGTGTCCTCTCCATGATATTCGGGCTGGGACAAGCGCTTCATCCGATGGGCTCCACTAAGGATAACCCACACTGCTATTAAAATGGCTACATATTGGAATTTTTTTGCCATATACAAGGGGAAACTAAAATATTAGGTTGCCTGCGATAACTGATTTCATTTGAATTTGAGTAAAATTTGTTGATTGATACCAGTAAGGTATTATGTTTATGTAGCAATCCGGAATTAGTTAATGTTTTGCCATTTTTTTGCTATTTAAATCCCAAAATCTTAAACCAATTACCTGCAAATGTCAACGATTTTGTTCTATGTGCATATTAAGTACGCCTCGCTGCGGTTCATCTGGCAGCTGAGTGCGCTGTTTTTGCTTGGTCTCTCGCCTGGAGGCGCTTTAAGTTGGTTCCTGGTAATGTTTTTATGGCTTGACTTCCTTTTTGTGTCCTTTAAGTTTCCATTTCCACTTTGAGCCGTGCTCTGGTCCACTTTGCTCCTTTTCGCTTCTCGGCCGCGTGTTTGTGTAGGGCTCAAGTATGTTTAAGTAAAGTTTGCTCGCCAACTTTTGTCAAAGTATTTCGTGTTCTCAAATATTTTCATTTGCCGAGCCAGCTGCACCAAATAATTGAGGTTTAGTTTTTGCCCGAAATGCCGCTTTTTCTCCGAATGCCACTTATTTTTTTTCTTTTTCGGGTTTCGCTGGGCAGACAGAGGGCAACCGATGCCGAACCAACTTGTGATGATTTGCGGCAGGCAAATTTATTGACAATTCATGGCTCATGGTTGCCCAGAAGCCCATCCTCCCCTCGCTCACTGTGTGAGTGAGGCCGTTCAAGCGTTTTGTTGAACTTTTGCGCAAGTTTGTCGCAAGTTTCCGTTTCCGGCTGGCAGGCCATGACAAAGTGCCGCACATTAAGCTGAAGATTTTTCATTTTTCTCCGCTCTATCTCACTCAGTCGCTCGTCCCGCTCGCATTTTCCTCCTCCCAGTGCCCGGTTTTTGTTATCACCGAGGCCGCAGCCAAGACAAACCAAAAAGCGCAAAAGTTTAAATTAATGACACTCAACTATTAGCAAAATTAAATAGTGCTAAGATTATGTCTGCAAACTTGGAATGCGGTCAGGGACAGGGATGAGTTTCCAGCCCTCGCTCTTTAGCTTTTCCGCATTTCCGCTTTTCCGTTCTCAATATGTCTTCGACTTGGACCATGGACCATGGACCATGGAACGGCCCAATTTGCGGTGACAGCGCCTGAAAGTAGGCAACAGGCTTGTAAATTGCCAATGACGCAATACTAGCACATTGAATTTGTTTACGTGTACGAACTTTCACCAGACACTGAAATGCACTCTGGCAAACTTAGTTTGTGCGACACAACGAAATTCGCACAAGTGAATTTATCGACCAAGGACTACCCTCAACTCTCACTTTAACTCGCTTTAAGTAACTCAGTAAAAGGGATTTTCCTCTTTGTAATAACGTTGGATAGTTATTATTATATCTTAGTTCATTTATTCTGATTTGATTCTAAGCGGTTCTGAGCTCAAATGTAAGCTCTTAATCTCTTAAAAATAAAATTAAAACTGAGAATACAGTGCGTTATATATGTAATATGTGTAATACTTGCTCCTATGCCTGCTCTTGTAACATAAATTATATATTCCCCTCAATTTCGTAGCCGAAAGTGGATTAAAATAGTATATTAGCTTGACAAGCTTCACGTGTATCCACATATAACGCCAGGGAAGGCTGCGGAATTTATTAATAATGCACACGGAGCTAAATAACATTTACTTTTTCCGGCCACCAGCCGCAAAAGTATCTCACGAAGGGCGTGGATGACGTAGAATTTGTTAATAAATAAACGCGGTCAAGTTGATTTGTATGTTGCCATTAAGCGCGAATTAATTAGAAATTATAGCCCAGCGAGGAAAGTGCAAATTCGTGTTCGAGGATCTGGGAGGTGACAAGGAGCAGGGGAAGTGGCAGGGCTCAGGGGGCAGGTGGCAGGTGGCAGGTGGGCCAAAGTAATTGACAATTTTTGCATTTGACTCGCGACTTGAGTCGACTCCACTCGGCTGACACTCGACTCTAGCCAATCTATTCAGCATCATTGTTTGGTGGCCTAATTGAATTACGCTGGCCAGAAGCTGAGCAATAATTAAAAGCGGTCTGCCAATAATCAATGGCCAGGCACCCAGCTGGAGGCAGGTATCCTCGTCCTGGAGGAGCCTGTTCGTGCAACAGGCGAAGGACTCGAGGACTCGAATGGCTCGTAATAGAAATAAATTGGCGCCACACGCAGTTCGCTGGCGACATTGGCGATACAAATACAGATACAAACATCTGAAAGCCAGCAGTCCTGGCCATTGTCTGGCTGTTCGACAGTCAAGTGGCACTTGAGCCAGTCCTTTGGCCAGGAGCCTGGGCCAATCTGTACGGACCCCTTGCGTGTGGCAGCTCATGAATTTCCAAGTGCCCGTTGCCAGGCAGCTGGTTAAAAGTAATGAAGCTCCTTTGGCGTGTGTGCCTGCCTCATCTGTTCATATCTGTTCCTTCTTTTGTTGCATGCTCCATTTAGGCGCACGTAATTAAATCTAACTTTATTAGCACATTTCTGGGCTCTCCAAGTAGAGAGTGATCGACTTGGTGCGAGGCCACTTAGTCGTCACCTTACAGTAGGATAATTAGCTATGCATGCAACATTTGAAAAAACATATGTTTACTTAGATTCAAACCTTAGCTCTGTATTGTTCATCCAGTTAAGAAATTCATATTGAGAATATGGTTAAAGAAATATTTGAGCCCTTGCTAACTAGTACCCTTGCTATTAGTATGTAAGATATACGTTAGTTAATAATGTTTTTTTTTTGGTGTACCGTCAAGTCCCGGTAAGAGTTAACTAGAACCCGACCCGCAACATTCAAGTCCTACTTATTTACTTGTACATCTCGTTGTTGTTTCTTGTTGAATGCTGTTGCTATTTGATAACGTTACTGCAGTTGAGTTGTTGCTCAAGACCAACACTTTCAACACCACCACCACCACCAACCAGCAAACCACCTGTAGCCACCAAAAACCACCACTAAACCACCAAACCAATCCTCTCTCACTCGTTCTTGTTGTGATTTATTCGCTCATTTCTCTGTGTGCATTAAATCCCTTCACCCCGCTCTAGAAAAATGCAAAAACAAAATACAAAAATAATAAAAAATGTGCTTAATGGAGAATTTGCAATTAATTATACTCTATACTCTGCTCACATTTCTCGTGCTTTTTCCATTCGAACATAAATCAATGCGATACCCATATCAAATAAAACCGCGAAACAATGATGGCAATTACAGCTGCCACGCCCAGTTTGAGGCGTGCAACGGCCATCGATGTTGATGCAGATGCAGATGCAGACGCAGACGCAGATGGTAATGACAACGAAAACCATGTCGATGGTTATAGCAATGATGATGACAATGATGAACGATGGCTGAGAGCTCCGAGGGCTCAGAAGGTTCAGAAGGCTCAAACTCAGGCTTATGCCGCTCACAATGACAGGCCGCAGACCAAAACAACGGGCGCAATACGTCAAAACAACGGCAGCAACAAGAGCAACAGCAACTGCAACAGCAACTGTAACAGCAACTGCAACAGCAGCAGCAACTGCAACAGCAGCAGCAACAACTATAAATCAGCAACAACATCTCAGTCAAACATAAACCATAGATTAGCGCCGAGGGCTAGCTTTCCGGAGATAATGCAGCCACGCCTGTCGCTCAATGGGCTGCTGAACCCATCGCTAATGCCCTCGCCCCGCCCCCTCTATCGGGATCACAGCTCGAGGTCAATCAACCCACTGACCGCCTATGAGCAGCAAATGGCCGAGCTGGACGGCAGCTTCTATGCGAGCAATGCCGGCTACTTGGGCGCCGGAATGGGCGGCAGTGCGGGCGGTGGCACCACCTGTACAAATCTCACGGTGGGCGGTGGTTCCACTGGTGGCGGTGCAATGGCGGGTGGTGGTGGTACTGCAAACCAAGTGGGTGGCAGTGGCAGTGGCAGTGGACCTGGCGGTGGAGGTGGAGGTGGAGGTGGAGGTGCAGGTGGTGGTGGTGGTGGTGCCGCCATACACACAACCGAACTCTCGATCACACCCACAATGGCCGGCGATGAGCAGTTCATCGATCTGGGGAGCCTGCGACGCTTCTCGATCGATCGCCAGAGCTTTCTCGGTAAGGCCACGTGATCCCAGTCCCCCAAAAAACTTTATCAAAACATTATATTACAAGTGTACATATTGATTTTTTAAATATTTTTTTTAATTATACCAAACTACTTTCTTCCTGACACTCTTAGCCATGTTATATAAGCCAAACTTAAAACAAAGATTCTTGTACAGTATTTAAGTGATTTCGATAGGGTGTTCATCCGCAATATGATTATTTCCAAAGACTTTATAGATTTTTTATGACCCCAACCTTGCACATTTAGGGAGTTACAAAAAGGATTGCTTCTAAAGGTTGTTATTTTCTTCTAACCCCCCTACCATCCGCAGATCTAGGACCAAAGTTTGGCATGACCCAGCCGAAATTCGGGCAGAGTGTCTCGCAACAAGGTTTCTTCACTTCGCACGACAGCCTGGCCACACCATGCGCCTCCAGGGCCTCCAACTCGCACATGGCCACCGTAAGCACTGCCTCAGAAATGGATCTTCTGCACAACAAGCAACGCAACAAGTCGCGGGGTCGTCTGAAAACGGCTGCCAGCGGCGATCAGCCGCTCCTGGGCACATGGAACCGATCCACGGGACGCGGCTCGCAGGATAACACGCTGGCCGGCGGCGGAGCCACCAGTTTGGCCATGGGCGGCCACAACCAGTACGGTGGCAACTACTGCAACGGCACAGATCGGTGGGTACCCGAAATAATAGTTACTAGCTAAAGCACGGCCTTTTTGCTGGATTGTGTAATATACTTGTGTGGCATTATCCTTATTTTTATTCCTCACTTTGTAGCTACCCGCGCTCCCGATCCCAGCAGCAGGGGCACCACAATGCTGCCCAGCAGGCGCATCACCCCTACCAGCTGCAGCACTCGGCCTCCACGGTGTCGCACCACCCGCACGCACACGGTCCACCCTCGCAGGGTGGCCCTGGTGGACCAGGACCTCCCCACGGCGGCCATCCGCATCATACGCACCACGGTGGCGCCGGCAGCGGAGGAGGTAGTGGACCAGGCTCACATGGTGGCCAGCCGCATCATCAGAAGCCACGGCGAACGGCCTCGCAACGGATTCGAGCAGCGACGGCGGCCAGGAAGCTGCACTTCGTCTTTGATCCGGCGGGGCGACTGTGCTACTACTGGTCCATGGTGGTGTCCATGGCCTTCCTGTACAACTTCTGGGTGATAATCTACCGCTTCGCCTTCCAGGAGATCAACCGGCGCACGATCGCCATCTGGTTCTGTCTGGACTACCTGTCCGACTTCCTGTATCTGATCGATATACTGTTCCACTTTCGCACCGGATACCTGGAGGACGGGGTGCTGCAGACGGACGCTCTGAAGCTGCGCACCCACTACATGAACTCGACGATCTTCTACATCGACTGCCTGTGCCTGCTGCCGCTGGACTTCCTCTATCTGTCCATCGGCTTCAACTCGATCCTGCGCAGCTTCCGGCTGGTGAAGATCTACCGGTTCTGGGCGTTCATGGATCGCACCGAGCGGCACACCAACTACCCGAACCTGTTCCGGAGCACGGCCCTCATCCACTACCTGCTTGTGATATTCCATTGGAACGGCTGTCTCTACCACATCATCCACAAGAACAATGGGTTCGGATCGCGCAACTGGGTCTACCACGACTCGGAGTCGGCGGACGTGGTCAAGCAGTATCTGCAGAGCTACTACTGGTGCACCCTGGCCCTGACCACCATCGGGGATCTGCCCAAGCCGCGCTCCAAGGGCGAGTACGTCTTTGTAATCCTCCAGCTCCTCTTCGGCCTGATGCTCTTTGCCACGGTGCTGGGGCACGTGGCCAACATTGTGACGTCAGTGAGCGCAGCGCGCAAGGAGTTTCAAGGTGAGTGCTATCCATTTTTATAAGAAGAACTGTAGTGCTTTTAAATCGAGAAGTTGGGGCTCTACTGTGGCACGAGGAAATTGTTGCTCTGATTAACTAAAAGCATCAGGCTGTACAATATTTTATCCGCACTCGGCCATGTTTCACTTTTATACTTTTATATATACGACGACTCTCATATACGAAAGTAAACACTGGCAAGCTGATTTCAATATCATGTGCAAGCCACTCAAATAAAACAAAAAACCCAATTACGTTATTCATAGCAAATTTATGACAACTTCTGATGCAAAAAAGGCAATAAACCAGAAATAGAACAAAAAGCATTTTTTTTTTCACTAAAAAGACCGAAATGTTTTCTTAAACAATAAATTTTGCTGCAGACTAACCAAAGTACTTAGCCTGATTAATTATTGTTTTTGTTTTATGAAAAGAATGGAAACAGCTCTGATTGATGGCACAGGACCTAAAGTCCTTGTTTGTATGCCGAATTTATATTTTAGCACAATAAATTGGCATATAAATAAAGCTGATAGCATGATAAAAGGAAAGAACATTTTCAAGGATGAGCCTGGGAAATATTAAATGTGCTATTCAACTTACCACGGAAATTCCGGCTTTGCGTTTCCTTAAGGAAACCCGTATTAATGCAAATGAGAAATGTGGACGTCAACAATGGCGTTGAAGGTATTTGCCAGCCTCTGAAGAATTCCTGCCAAAACTGACCGAACTTGTTGCTTGAAGTTGTCCTGACAACTGGAAAAGGACCTCGCAGCATATGAATGCGGATAAAGAATAAAGGCAACAGGATAACAATGGGCAAATACTTTCGTACTTATCCTTAAGCTGCGTTTTCAGCAGAACGGGAATTCGTATTATTGTGCGGATTGAAAGCTGTGCCAATTTTATGCAAAATATTGAAATCTGGCGGTGCTATGGCAATGATGACGTGGCAGCAGGACAGCCCCGTAGTGCCCATTGTGGCATACAAAGAGGACTCGAAGGACCCGAAGGACTCGTAGAGAATTCTCTCGTAGGCTCAGTTGGGCGTGCGGCCATTAGCTAAATGAACTCGTTTACCCGACCGGGCCATAAATAACTGGACGAAATGCAAGAGCAATCCAAGTCAGCTAAGTGGAAAATGCCAAGTGAAAGGCATAGCACGACCAGACTACAGTGCACTCAAAGAAATACTATTGTATTGTGTGTAATTGCAAAACGATACTACAGATATTATAGTCTGGCACACACTGAACATTTCAACTGGACTTGAAAAAGTTTGTTGTATAGCCTTGAAATGAACTTGAACAAGTAATTACTGTTTCCTTGAAAGTTATCTGCAGGCATAGACTTTTCGCGATAGATTTTCGACATCAAAGGATTTTTTTGAGTGCAGAGACGTAGCGGAAAACGCATCAGAGGAAGCGGAAACGAGAATAAGATGCGACAGCGCTGGGCATCATTTCTTGCTTTCATTAAGAGCAGCGTCAGCTGAAAAATATTAAAGCCACTCACGACGACAATGGGTCAAGGTGGTTCGGTCAGCTCCTGCCAGCAGGGGGCAAACAAAGCACAATTGGACGCCGGTGGGCGGATACGTAGGGGGCGTGGCACCTTGATTTGCGCTGGCCATTCCTTCTGGCTAAGCTCCTTCTTCGTCTTCCAGCTCGCCGCCCCTCTGAGCTCCGCCTGCAGCGCCCAGCCAACTGGCAGCTGACTTGTTTACACAACACTTTGCATGTGTGTTTGTGTATGCGGCCATTGCACATGTGTCCATTTTCATGTCCTGCAAGGGGGAGTGGCAGGGGCGGTGGCAGGGGCGGAGGCGGAGGCGAAAGGATGGCAAAGTCAGCAAGCAAAGCTCTGGCGGCTTAATGGACGAAACGTGCTGTTGAATTAATTTCTGGCTTTATGCTCTCGATTTTTTCTTTCCGCTTTCCATTCAGCCGCCTTCGTTTTTTGCAGGCAGGCAGAAATATACTTCTATGTATTGAATTTCAATTTTTAAGTACTTCAAACATAAAATCCTATGAAAAAAAAGTTAAATAAAACAAAAACCATTATAATATTAAACTTAATCTATAAGTAATTAATTTTATTATAATTTACATATCAATTTGGCGATACACATTTCATTGCGCTTACTTTTTATGAAAATGTAATATATATTACATTTTGATGGCGGTCTCAGTTCAAAGCGGACTATGCATGAAGCCTATAAAATCGCGCAGGTTTATGCGCCCATCGTTATCCATGTCGACTGCTCGGTAGATATCCTTAATGTCCTCATCGGTTACGACTTCGCCCAGGACGACCATGATGGCACGCAGGTCCTGGACGGAGACGTAGCCATCACGATCGCGGTCAATGATGCTGAAGGTGCGCATCAGGGTTTGATCACTATCCACATGGGCCATTCGGGGCGCCATCATCCGCATAAAGTTTTGCAAATCCAGTTCCTGCTCATCACCCACGGCCACCGAGTGAATGAGATCGTACAGCTCCGCCTCGGTGATTTCGTAGCCCACTGAAATCAGGGCCAGACGCACATCCTTGGCTGATAAAGTGCCATTCGAGTCCAGATCATACCTTTCAAAGGCATCCCGCAGTTCCTCGATCTGCTCATTCGTCAGCTCATTGCCGGAAAAAGAAGGCATGGTTGCCAATAATACAAAAAGCAGTTCGGGAAAATGGTGTACAAAAAAAAGGAGAAATGGGGGGAAAAAAACCGATGTGTATGAAAACTGACAATCAACTCAACTCAACCGAACTCGAGCTCTGTTCTCGATGGCTAATAAAACACTTAGGCAAGCAATTGTTGTTGTTGCGGTCACAAACTCTTCCAGAATAATAATGCATCATATACTCGCACAAGGGGCAATAAAGGCAAAAAATAAGGAAGCAGAGATGCTGAAGCATGCAACGTTTGGAGAACCATCCATCAATTTGTCAATTCAGCGCTTGCCTTTGAGTGGCTGGCCATGGGACAGGAATGATGTTAGATGACGACGATGATGATGATGATGATGATGATGGGCAGTAGTTGGCTGGAGTGCTGGCCATAAAAACTCAAGCGGGCAAATAAGTTGAACACACACCGCTACCACACGAGCTAAATGGATTTTCCGTAATCCTTGTGCAGTTTCAAGTAATTATATTGAACAAATGTTATGGAAACTATAAGGATTTTCTTGGCGCAGCAGGACTTTTGATTTACAACCAAACTGTAGCATACTTTTGGGCAATGCGACTTTGAGACGACTGTAATTTGTACAAATAAACATACCTTGTTTCTAGTGCCTCTCCCTCTGCCTCCTCAAAAGGTGGAGTTGAGAACGCGAAACCACTGACTTGTCAGGGATTTCTAGGCTTAGAAATAAGTTTTCCGACAGCCCATTTGATTCATTCAACTTTGAGGCCTACTCTTGTTGCGCTTATACCCCCAAAGACTTTGAGCCCGGATGATGATAAGCAAATGAAATGTTGTCGCCGTCCCACATGACGAATGATTAATGACACGAATGATACATTCCTCCCGGGGGCAAAAACCACGCGCCACGGCCAGTCAAAAGTTGAAACCCAACTTTAACCATGGCAGGCACTTTTTCACTCGGTGTCACGGTGCCTGGCTACAAAATTTCGCTAGTCAGAGCTTAGTGGGGGATACTGTTTGCAAAGTGACTGAGTCCCGAGTCTTCTTCTGCTACATTAGCCTACTTCCTCCGCTCTGCAACGTACATTCCACTCAGGAATCCTCTGATGCTGCAACAACTTGTGCTTGTGTATTTGCTTAAGCCGAGGTCGCTTTCCTGTTTCCTTCCGCTGCTTTTCCACTTTTCCGCTTTTCCGCTGTTCCACTGCCTGCAAAGGGGGTGGGGGGGCGCGGGCGGTGTGCTCAGGAAAATTGATTTTGAAATAGTTGGTCTGCCTTTTTAAGTTTGATTGACGTTATTACATTACATAACATCGCACACGGAGTGGAAAGGCGAGCAGCTGGCTTAAGTTATTCATCCATTTAGTCCCACTTAGGGGTTGGGGGTGGTGGACAGCTGGGCTGCTGGGCAGCTGGGGGCGGTGGGTGATTGTGGGTGGCAACAACAAGTGGAAAACTGTCATTATATTTGAGTTATTGATGGTTTTTTTTTCAAAAACCATTTTGCAACAATGTTGCCGCTACCCAACCGCACAGACACACACACACACCAACACACTTCAGCCGCACGCTGACAGGCTCTCCGCCCGCCACCCGCCACCCCCTCACCCTTCCGCACACACACACATACTGTTACATTCACGCTTAGTTAAACGCATGGCTGTGGCTTGTTAACGCCGACAAGCGCAAAAGTTTGCCGTTCGCCAAATGCTTGCGATAATCGACAAGCTTTCACATACTCAACCAAATGCACTCTAAAAAAAAGGGGGAGATTGCTGCAAGAACACATATAGAATCGGAGTGAATTGCATACAAGTTCATGTTTACTTTCTAACATGTTGCAACATAATAGTTGCTCATAGTTGTAGAATATATTTAGTGCCGACTCAAGTGCAGTTTCTCCCAGTGCAAGAGACTCACACACTGCCAAACAACCTGCTCGCATTCAGGACATTCACTGTGTGCGGCTGTGTATTGAATTTTCCCCTGTTTTGGCAACTGTCCAAACACCATTTCAAAAACTGACATTTAAAATTATGGAAATGCAGACCCATACACACGAGTATCTGCGCCCATCCCTCAGGTCCCATTATGTAATTGTTATTGTAAATAGTTTTATGCAAATTTTCCCGCTGTCAGCAAAACTGTCAACGGACCTTGATTGATGTATGCGGACAGTTTGCATATGAATCATCGTGGGTGTGAGCCAGAGTTACTGTGCATTTATTCAATTGAAATTTCTTGCCTCACTTGGTTTTTTAAACATTTATGCCACTTTTCTCCGCCCGCTTACAATTAACGTCTGTTTGGCTTGGCTTGGCTTGGCTGGCTTGGCTGGCCTGGACGGACTTGGCTTTTGGCCCCGCAATTAAAACAATTTACGCGCTCAATTTAAGCCAGCACAAGCAAACACGGCCCAAAGGAGCTGGCGGAAGCTTCACAGCGCTGAGCGCCGAGCAGAAGATTTGTAGTGCTTTAGCCAAGCGTTTTTTGGTAAATGCATAATGGCCAAAGTGTTGTTGCCCGCTCTTGTTCTTATTGCTCCTCCTGCTGCTGCTGCCCCACAGTGGTGGCACTAAAAATAGCAACGAGGCGAAGTGACGAAAAGCAAACGAACTCAGAAACGCGTCAGCCATTCGACATTGGAACGGTGTCGGTGATATCCTTTCCTCACACTGAGGGCATCCAAGGATTTTGAGCTTGATTTAACACTACCCTTACTCCCCGAGCATTCAAAAAAAAAAATGTATTCTGACTAAAAATAATAACAGATATCTGGAAATTTGAACTTAATCATCTTATATAAATCGACTTTGAGTGTGCCTCTATCCATTTCAATTCACCAAAAGTGCCCTGATGTTATTTTAGGTAAATTTGTTCTCAGTGGCGGAAAAGAAAGGTAATACAACCTTATCCTTCTCAAAGAAGACATCTCCTGAATAAATCTGTCAAAGGACTTTTACCATACCTTTCCAGGGTATCGTTTTCTTCGATTGCGCCAGATCCTTTTGGCCTGTACCTCTTTCCATTTTCTCTGCCTCTTTTTTTAAGAGGGGATGTGGGCGAAAAAGTGGGGATGCAGCGACGTCCATTATCCACTTTAAGTTGCCAGCCCTTGCTGTGTGTGTGTGTGTGCGTGTATGTGTGTGTGTGAGTGTCCTGGTCTCCCCTCTGCATGGGTATATGTGTTCAGCTTGGTTTGTGTTTGTTGTTCGTTTCGCTGTTTGCTTTTGCTTGCCACAGCAATGTCCTGTGCTTGTGTGAGTTTATGTTTGCTTCTGGTTATGCCCCACAGTTGTAACCCTGTGTGTGTGTGTGTGTGCGCGAGTGTGTGTGTGGGGGAATATATATATATATGCGGATTCCAATCAATATCGTAGACGCAGTCGCCGCTGGTGGCCGCTTTTGCCCATTAAGCTGCATGTACACCAACTTACTGTCGTATTTTTAGAACACGCCAGTTGTTGTTCTTGTTCCTCTCGGTTTTTTCCCCTTTTTGCTGTTGTATTACAACAGCGGCATGTAGCTGCTCTTTAAGGGCAAAGCATTCCATTATCCTTGAATGGCGAATTCCCAAGGATTTCAGCATTCGGCTTTCAGCTCCCAATGCAGCTGGCATGCGCATTGTTATTGCAAACTGGTGGCGCTGCGAGGTGCTCGCCGCATATATTTTTAGTTACCGCCTGAATAAATCCATCCCCAGCACTTCATCCGACCATCAGCCGTGCTCAGCTCGGTTTCAGCTGCTCCTGCCACATGGCGCTCATTGTTTTTTGCCCCAGTCCAGCTTGCAGAGTGGCAGCCATCGACGGCGGTGGTAAATGCATAATTAAGGTGCAAAAATCAGAGGCCGAATGCAGTTTGCTTGAAATTGAATCTGCACTATTCAATGGTAAGCCGTATATGTATATCCGGCTGTTGGTTGTAGCATTTCCGGTGGGGAAGAGCTACTATCCGGGGCGCTTCCAAAACATTTAGAGCAACAAAAATGAAACAAGCAGAAGAGAAGTCGGATTAAATCGATGTTTGCCTAGCTTTCTGATGACTTAACATATTTGCAAGTGTTTGACCACTTGAGCGGGAAAGAGGAGCAAGCAGAAGGCAGTGTAGATGTAGAACGAGCTTTCAGAAGCTAAATTAATGTACTTCTAATGAGGGAAAGTATTGCTTGTACAATATGTGGCTAAATGAACGTTGCTCATTTGAAACACCTTTTTTTTGGCTAATCTAAATGAATGGGAGTGTTCGCATGCCATTATCATTCGCACATGCACCACACTTCTGTAGCAAATCCATGATATTTGTTTTCCGCATTTGAAAGAAATCCAGTTGAAATGGCAGGTGGCAAAAGTGCAGACCATTACTTCTCCTTCACTTTGAATTGCGCCAAGGACTCTCTGCACTCGGGTGATAATCGCAGACAATTCCTTCGATTCCTGTGCGCATTTAGTAAATGCCACACCCTCCTCCTTGCACCATTTTCCCCTCCTGCAGCTCAACTCCCATCAGCGACCATTGTTCTGCCGCCAAAGGAGGAGCTCCTGGGCCCCGAGCACAACTTCCGTCTTTGGCATAACACATCAGCTTGACTCTTAAGTGGTTTCTAGTTAGTTTGCAATTTTCACTTGGCTAGAACGCCCCACAATCCAGCGTTTTTATTTTCCTCTTTATTTTCCTTCATCTTTTCGAATGCATGTTTTGATGTGTGTGTGTGTGCGGGTGTATGGGTGAGTGGGTGTGTGGGTGTGCGGCGGTTTATGAAAAGACTGTGGCACAGGAAGAGCAAGTTTTTGTCACGCATATTTACTGTTTGCATGTGATCCCCTCCTTTGTTCGCTCGGCAACTTGCTGCTGCAGTTGGGGGCGAGACAATGGCCTGAACTTTGCACCCAGATTTCTTTCACATACATCCACACACACCCACCCACGTGTCAGCCACTGAAGTGCACCCATCACCGCCGCCCCCTTTTCACCAATATGAAGCGACTTTTTTGCCTGCAGTTGATCCTACGGCGGCAATTGTCCTCGCCGTCAGTCGAGAGACAAAAGTCGAGTCAAAACAGTAAATGTAATTATTGGGAAAGGCAGCGCTTAGTTGGAGGTGACACCAGCACCGCCATCTGGCGGTAAAAAAGAAAACCATGCAGCGGCTGCGCCATCCGAGAAGAATTGCAACAGAAGCAGATCAAAGTTCGCCGAGGGCAACTGTAGGCGAAGCCGAGCATAAAATGAAAAATAAATAAGAAATAAGCTGAATGTGAAGCCAAATGCACTATCTTCTCTTTTTGGACAAAACGCTGCCAAGTGACTTGGGGGCAAAAAATGGCAAATTAAATTTTGCTCGCAAAATGCAACGAAATGAAAGAGGAGAGCGCTGTGGCGTGGCAGGGAGGTGGCCAGGAAACAGGACGAAACGTAGCCAAACGAAACAGGACGCAAGATACAGGATAAGCTCGGTTCAGCCACAGAGCAAGCAAAGGAATTAAAGCTCGAGCAATTTCTAAAAACACCAAAAACCATCAGGAGACACAGAAACGCCGGCAGGACGAGAGTCTATCGAAAGCAACCGCAATTACTGAGCCAACCGCACAATACTGCAAAATACCCAACCGAAAGCTGAAGCATTCACTGTTCCATTTGTTTATTTTTGCCGGCTGCCATGGAATATGCAATTAATATTTAGATTGATTTTCAATTGTAACAAAACCCCGCAAAGATCGTGCCAGCAACGCAGCAGGAAAGGCGGGCAAAGTAGGTGTTGGCCAAGTGTTCGTGTGTGGGTATGTATGTGTGTGAAAAATTGAATAGGATGGTGGCTTGGTGGGTTGGTGGATGTCGAATGCATTCAAGCAGCGCCGCAATAAAAATCGTTGTAATTTTGCATGGCTCTCGTATCACAGTGGGATAGAAAACGGAGCAGGATCGAAGGGAAATGGGAAATGGGAAAAGGTGCGGGAAACATTCCCATCGCTATCCATATCCGATATGTGCAATGGTTGCCAAGAGGCAGACACTGCCGTTCACAAATCTTTCACTTCGCCGACAAAGTCTGCCACAAATGCCATTCGAAAGTGGGACACGAACACGAGTAACCAAGCGAAAAACTTAATCAGAAGCACGAATGAAGAGCCTAATTCGGGATTATTTGCGTTGCAAATTAAATTTGATTGCAGATTACTTTGGCTCTCGGTTGAAAAACCGGGTTTTTTTGAAAAACATTGAAACTACAAGTAAAACCATTATTAACATCGTTTTGATTCAGACGGGCGTTAAACTCAATGCAGATTAAATCAATTTGCAGCCCAATCTATCCAATTTATTTAAGTGTGCAAGCGGATGGACAATTGGACAGGCTTCACTGACCACTGCTGCTTTTTATACAAATAAAAATACAAATTCAATTCACAGAACATTCCCTAACACGCCACCGTGCTCCAATTATTTAATTGTTTAATTTACTTAGACTCGAAATGAAGTGACACAAATTATTCTGACGGGTTTTATTACAGTTACGGGCGATGTTTATTTATATTTAAAAACTGCAGATTCCACCAGGGTCCATGGTATGGGATACCATGGATGGCCGAGCTGCAATCTTATTAGACAAGCGGGCTGAAATTTGAGTTCGACAACAAAGGACATTTGACAATTGAGAGATGACAAATGACCAACGGGGAAAACTTGAGCTTCGAGCTGACGATTGATTGCATTATAGATGATGTCGTTGCTGGCCACGCCCCCTGGACTTTTAGCCCGGTAACTGGGTATTTATTTGTATTCAATCTGTTTGCCTGTTTGTCAGTTGGTTTTCAAATGTTTGCACGAGCAAACACAAAAGACGCAGCACTCAGTTAAGTCCTACCTGCCGCCCCTTCCACTTGGCAGAGCCACCCACCCACTCGCCGCCAATTCCATTCCCCTTTGGCAAGCGCCGACAAATTGTGTCAATATTTGTTACCACTGACAAGCCAAGAGATTTAATTTCCTCTTATCGACTGGGGATGACTCGCCGTGCAGTAGTGGTGCTGTGGGAAACTAAAAACAAAAGCCAGTTGCCATCAATATTGCTCAAACAGTGTCCTGTTCCCTCATCCCCCATCCCGTGCCCCTGCCAATGCCACCAGTCTGGTCACATGGAATGTCCCCTGTCCCATGTCCAATATCCCTTCAGATATAGCCAATCGAGCGAACATCACTCATTGTTGAGCTGCAACTGCACCACCCATCAGTCCACCAACCCACCAGCCCACCGATTACTAGCCACTGGTTAGTTCCTTTGTGCGTGCTCCTCGACCAGAACGGATTGTTAATTGCCGGCTAAACACAAGATGGGTTCACGTGGAAGACAGTTCCTAAGATGCAGTGATCAATATCGAGCATACGCCAGGTGGGCCAGAAGAGCTTAAGCCAGCCGGACAGCCGTAAGCTTAATATTAAAAATTTATGCAGACCGGCTTGATTGAACGATTAGAGAGCAAAGTCCGTGTACGATGGTACGGATTTTATTTGTCTGCGGTGAAGAGAAAGTATTCAGAAATTCGGCATCGCAGACGTGTTATTATAATTTCCTAAATATAACGCTGAACTAATTGCCGCCTCCTGAGCAGGTGGTTTTACTTGTATGAAGCTACAAGTAACCACATTTGCTGACCATCGGCGATTCTAAATACCATTGTACAACACCCTAATTTCCACGAATTTCCACTTTGTATGCCCGTCGCGTATCAATTTCCAGGAAAATCCTCAGCAAATACAAATAAAACATTTTCCTTTTCTTGTTTCTCCCTTGCCATTTGTGCTCCCTCTTATTTTGGCCCGGGTTTTCCGCATCTCAGCCAAGCTGGATGGCGTGAAGACGTACATGCGGATGCGACGTGTGCCGAATCATCTGCAGGTGAAGGTCATCAAATGGTTCGATTACCTGTGGCTTACGCAAAAATGCTCGGACGAGGAGCGCGCCGTGTCCTGTCTTCCTGATAAATTAAAGGTAAGTACACGGATGCGTCTTAGGCCCCGGAACACGATTTGTCCATTACTAAAGGCGATATCTTACCGTTTCCCCGTCCATTCCAGGCTGAAATAGCAATTAACGTCCATTTAGATACGCTCAAGCGGGTGGAGATTTTCCAAAACACAGAGGCCGGTTTCCTATGCGAACTGGTGCTGCGCCTGAGGCCCGTGCTCTTCTCGCCCGGCGACTACATCTGCAGAAAGGGTGAGTCTCGGGGTCCAGGCCAATTCCTTTGATATCGCCACTAACTCAGTGCTATTTGTTTCCATCCGATTCTGATTCCCTTTCTGATTCCCATTCCGATTCCGATTCCGATTGTGATTCCGACTTAGGCGAGGTGGGCAAGGAGATGTACATTGTGAACCGAGGACGACTGCAGGTGGTGGCCGACAATGGAAAGACGGTGATGGCCTCCCTGAAGGCTGGTTCCTATTTTGGCGAGATTAGTATACTCAATATGGGCACCGCAGGTAAAGAACTTGGTAAATATCCCGTTTTAGTGCGACAGGCGGAACAATAACGATAACGTAACTACTACAACAACCTTACCAACCCCCCTGCCCAGAAAACTAAATGAAATCAAATGAAATAAAATAAAATAAAAACCGAAAGGAACCCATTAATCAACAGACACACTCACACACCCTGAAAAGCATACTACGTAGCCGTGTCTATGTGTGGAATGTAATTGTCTATAATTGTGCAACCAAGTGTTAACCGGATTCCCACGATCCTCCCAGCGAGCAACACGTACTCCCATAGTTTAGAGATTGGTCCCAACCCGCCATTCGAATTCCCCAGCACATATGTAGCCAACTAGTCGAGCACAAGAATCAATTTCGATGGAATTTACGTTTCATATCATATATACCATATGGGGCGCACCGTTTTGTTCATTTTTCCATTATTTTTTTTGCAAGTTTACATCGTTGATTTATTTATTTGGCCAGCCCTTAGCGTATGCAACGCATTTTTATTGCTCACCCCACGCACAGGCTGCAAAATTAATGAATGTCAAATGCAATTATTGCACCTGCATGCACTCACACGGGTCTCTCGATTTCATTGTTCTCGACATTTTTATTCGGCGCAAATGAAAACGAATGCAATAATTGTGGTCGCGCCTCGGCAAAAAGCACAATTTACTGAACTTTGGGCCGCTTTAAAAGCGTGTAATAGTTGGCCAGCCAAGTGTAAAGCCGATTCATGGGGAAAATGGAAAATGGAGCAGCTAGCAGGAAGCAGACAGCAGCTCAGTTCATTATAATTAACAGGATTGTGTGCCATCCAAATGCATGGCGGTATCTATGCGTTGCATACTCGAAGGCGCATCATCGGAGCCATGTGCCACCTAATTGAGTTTGAGAAAGAGCAAGAGTGGCGAGAGCAACTCAATTTGCAAACAAAAGTTAAGGAGGTGGCCCCAAAGTTTTGCACCCCCACACGCACAACCCACCAATCCCCATTTTGCACCTCCCTGCCCCCCTCAGGCAATTAGAGACGCTGAAATCGAATTGTTTAAAGTTCTTTGTGTTTCTGCATGATTAAAGCATTATTCCGGTTTAGTTCCATTCGTGCGCGCTCAACGGTGAGAATTGCCTACAGGATTTTAGCACCGAAACGCCGTTCCTTACGCTAGTTAGTCGCTCCATCTTTGTCTTTGTCTCTACTTTAATCTCTCCGTCTCTCTCTCTCTCTATCTATCTATCTCTATATGTGTTTGTCTCCTAACTCGGTGTTGTTGTTGTATTGCTTTGCCTGGACGTAATTTAAACGTTTTCCTACACGTAATTGCATTGCGAGTTGTGTGTAATTTCAATTAAGTATACGACCCGTGTACACAAGCCACTCACACTAACGATTCTTCTTGTCGCCAAAAAGTGCACATACCGAATTTGGATAAGCGAGCATTAGGATTTTAATCAAAACCCGTCTACCATTAATCCTATTCAATATTTACCCACTGTTTTTCATCGAACTTCCATATTGTGTGGCATGCAATTTTAATGTCATTGTGCGCCCAAGTCAACAAGAAGAATCGACAGACACAATGACTCGAGCACACAAATACACACGCAGAGCATCTCCGGGAAATGCTTTTTTGCAAGACCATTAAACTTTTCTCTTTGCGTTGGCAAACATTTGCTTTGCCAACTTTCCCGATGCGAAACAAAAACAGGCAACCGACGCACAGCCAGCGTTCGCTCAGTGGGATACAGCGACCTCTTCGTCCTGAGCAAGAAGGACATGTGGGACGTGCTGAAGGAGTATCCGGCGGCGCGTGTTCGTCTGGAGTCGATAGCCGTCAAGCGATTGGAGAAGTACAAGAAGGCACCGCTGGAGAAAGGTAAGGCACTTGTCTTATTTGCTGCCACCCCACTCCGCTATCCGGTTCACCAGAACCACAAGCCCAACCTCCCAATTCAACCACCCATCCACCCATCCACCCATTCACCCATCCAGCCACAGAACATCCAGCAAAGCCACCAGAATCCCCTGCCAAACAAATACCACTCGAAATTCAAAGATACCCATACGAATACGAATACGAATACGATTGCCCCAGAATAACACGATTCGATTGTTTTCGCCTTCCGTCTTTCCGTTCCGTCTTTCCTTCCTTTTTCGTTATCGATTTCATTTGCGTCCGTTTCCGTTTGTGAACGATTTTGATTTAAAACACAGTCAAATACTTTAATGTAGTTGCCATGGGCCGTTGCCAATCGACGCCGGGCTTAGTCGAGAGCTGTGGCCGCACGTCTCTGGAGGAGATGTGGCTGCCACCGGCGACGGTGATGCACCACCACCAGGCGCTCCAGCAGCAGCATCAGGCATCCCAGCAGCAGTCGCATCGACAGGAGTCCACGCAAGCCTCCTCCCAGACACATGGGTACAGGTAAGCATAACGTCCTATTTTGGGATATGAGATGTGCAATTAAGTTTCTGTAGTCCCCGCAGCTATGCCGATCGTTTGGTCCGGGCCACGGACTCCCCCAGATCGGTTAGCCCCAGTGCCCATGGATCCGAGGAACGACCACGTAGTCGAACGACTTCGCACCACTCAATAAGGCCACAATCCCAGCCCAGCCACACGGGTAAGCACGTAGAGATATGCAATTCCATGGCATGGTTACTATATGGCCACGTAATCCCCTCCTATTAGGTCACATTTGCGACTCCAGTTCGCAGCTGGAGTGCTATGGAGCGGGCGTGGGCGGTGCTGGTGGCGGAACCACGCCCCTTTTGGGCTCCCACGAAGTTCTCGAGGACGAGATCAAGCGGCTGAGGGAACGCCTGCACACGGTGGAATCGGAGAACCAGGCCCTGAACACGAAACTCTCGCAGCAGCAGTGGGATCTGGAGAACCGGCTGGCCGAGATTGAGATGCAAATCTGCGGAGTGTCGTCGACGTCCAGTGTGGATCCCGAGAATGAGACGGAGGAGCTGGAACGGAACAGAGAGAGTATCATTTAACACGGGAGCGTGCTGCCCCATCAGGCGATCGGTATGGTGTACATATCATGTTCCTCATGACTCCACGATCATCATTGATCATCTGACAACTGAGTGCATTTGGCGATCGGGCGACTTGGATCATTACACCGCATCATATTGCATCTAACTCTCGCTTCCCAAATCTCCCACTCTCTATCTGTCTCGTATTTGTGTTTCTCCCTCTCTCTCTCTCTCCCGCCCACTAACTGTGCTTTGTATTTGTGTGTATGTGTGTGATGCATGCATTCCAAATTGCCTTACTAACGAAAAACCAATAAAAAAACATCAACATAAACATAACCAGGAGCAGCAGCAGCTATACAGCAGCAGGAGGAGCGCAGGGATCGGGAGAGGAAGGATCAAGGCCGACCAATGGAGAGTGAAGCGGGAACTGGGTCCTGTGCCAAATACTTCTCGCTTTAGAGAGATCCACACACAGAGAGAGAGATAGAGAGAGGGGAGGACAGGGCGCCAGATAATCCCCAAGATGTGCAATTAATGTCTCTTATGATCATTACGCTACACCAAGAGTAAAATAAAGCCGAAAATGGCACTGCCAAATGAAAATTGTCTGTACATAGGTGTGAAGAAAATTCAGATCAAAATATAAGCAAAACGATCGTAATTGGTTAAGCTATGCACGATGGATCGGAAAGCTTTAATAGATTATCCGAGAGAACTTTTTCCAGAAACCCTACAACTTGTTACCCAACACTTACACTTTTTCCATACTACGCTCAGAAATAGATTGAGATTTACATAGATATATCATTAGGCCTAGACGCTCTTCGCTCCTTTTACTGGTAACTAAGCCAAATCGAAACGGGTACTCGAATTCCCATTGTAAATAAACTTCGCTCTAGGAACTCAATTAGCATTATGGTCAATGACATAAGTATGGATCATCTGAATAAATAACTAAAGATTACTTTAACTCATGAGTGTAACAAATGAATCGTATATCTATTGTAATATTTGCTAACTGTAATTTGAAAAATTAAATTTACTAGATGTGTATATGGGAAACGATTTACTTTACAACTGAAAATAATGCATAAACAATTTATGGACAACTAAGTGAATATTTGCAAAATATTTGTACTATTGGAAAAGAACTGCCAGAGCATACACCACACACTCGAAAAACTATATTAATAATAATAATAAACAAACAAAAACAATTTAAAAGAAAACGCTATAGACATTTAGCTATTGATAAAACCAATATTAATGGGTAAATATGTCAAAAAGAAAACACTTTTAATGCAATATTAAATTGTACTACTGTCGTATATAGTATCTACATTATACATGATCTAAATTATACTTGATATGGTAACAATTTAAAGGTCTAAATGTATTTAACTTTAGTTAGTTGCCCCCAGAGCCAAACCAATGCTGAAGATTGTAGTTGAGAAAAAACCAAGATTAATTTAGGCAAGAAGGTTCTGTAGCAGAACACAGAACGCAGTTCGAGAATCCCCATAATATGGGGGCTGCGATGAAGAATGAAGAATAATTAATTTAGCTGTAACTCTAGTTATACCTAGTTATACCATTAGATGTGTACCAGAGAAGACCAAAAAAAGATCGAATCTCGATCAAATATGAAAATTGTTCAGTGTCAGGTCCCGGGAGCATTGAAAAAGGCAAACTGAGTTGATAAGAAAACCTAATAATTATATAGCTAACTCGATTAAGAACCTCAAATTTACAGAATGAGCAGGCGTTTAAGCCAGGATACGTTTGAGTATCTGCCGAGAAAACGGAAACTGGAACGAATCTCATTTCATGCCAACAATGATAGGCCAAAAACTTAAGCTCAAATTTTGTTACGATTTTTTCTTAGATTTTTGTCAAAGAGCTAAACTTATTTTCTATTTTCTAGAGAACAAATAGATGAAAAATTCTTTTTCATATTTTTCAACCTAATTACTTTTCGGAATATCATATAATGGATTAAAAATTAATTAATAATTACAATAAACATTAAATGGGGTTTCATCTAAGACAAAGCTTATAACAAACTAAGAAAAGTGTTAAACGAAAGCTAACGAAAACTTGTAAAAGTCAATCGTAGTTTTTGATTCCTTAGTTAGCCAATTATTGCCAAAGTTAAAGTTGAATAATATAACTTAATTATATTACATTTTTATGGCTTTTTAGCACGCTTATCACGGGGCAAAGGCTCCGGCCCTTGTTAGAATTATTCCTTCTTATTTCTTCAATGTTTTCCGTTAGAGCGCGTATAGACATATATCTATTTGTTATTGAACGTAAGATACAAGGAACTACATCGATTCGGTTGTGTTGTTGTCGCCAGGTGCAGGTGGTGAAATAAGAAGCTGGCGAGTTTAAATGGCTTACATAATAATTTATTAAATAATTTGGTGCATGAGATCTATGAAACAAAGAAAAGAAAGCAAAAGAAGAACATTCATAGCTTTATTTTTACTATATTTAATTAATTAATTTATAAGAACTAAATTGAATAAATTAATTCAGCATTGACTTCATAGCAAACACAGAGAAACAGCATAGTTCTCAGATCATCGGGCAAGAAAAGGCATTTTTTAATCGGTCACTATAAATCAGATCAGATCAGACAAGACCCCGATTTGCAGCAGGTAAATCGAGCTTATCGTGCGATAGTTTCAAAGCCGTTTACAATGCTAAGCCACTCTGGAAAATCTGAAAAGGGTAAAGCAAACACACAAACACAAAACCAAACAAAACAAAATTGAATTATAAAGTAAAGCGACAGCAAAACCAGAAAGAAAACTGAAATACAAATAAAATCAAAACAAAACAAAACAATACAAAAAATTCTTAATACATGAAAATCGTGCGTTTCGTTTTGCTTCGGGGGGCCAATACAGCACTATGCGATCATATACCAATATCCATCGACTCATCCATCCACTTAGCCAACAATCGGTGGGTCGATCGATCGAATGCAACTGCATGTCGAAATCAATGGGATCTGAGGAAAAGCCGCAAAATTGTTCAATTACAGAGGCCGAAACCACACGCTCATCGGATTGCCGACGCCTGCAATTAACAAGCTGCTTGAGCGGTCGAGTCCATTAGGCCAACACTCCAACACTGCAACACTCCGATCGAGAACCAACTAACCGCTTTGCTAAGCGGAAACGTGGCACCTGAGCGAATTGGGGGCCCAAAACAAAAGCGCCAACAAAGCGGGCAAGCAAAACAAGCCGAGATCGGGCCAAAAACGATGACGTAGCTCGATTCCAACTCGAGACTTCCAGTGGAGAGCGATTGGGGAGCGGAGCTTTTGGCCCGATCGTAAGTCTAATTTCTGCTGCCAATTTCAGTCGTTGTGAGCAACTCGTGCGCGCTGGACGTGTTTTTCAATTGAAACGCTTTTCTACTTTTAAACCCCCTCGCAGGCAAATCCGAAGTGTAAGCAACAAGTGCCAAAAGGGAAACAAACACTCATCTACATGTGCATACCCACACATATTTGTGCTTTACTGTGCTGTGTGTGTTACTCCCCCCGACTTTTTAATAACTTCTGTGGCCATCGTCTAACGTTAAAGTTAACTACACATAGTTTTTATGAATCTTCATGTGTCTCGCCGTTCGCCTTGTGTTAAGTTTTGAGTCTGTCTTTCTTTTTGTTCACTTTGCGTGCCGAGCGTTGTTCTAATTTTAAGTTGCTGCTGCTTAAATTAGAGGGGATATACGAGTATATGTATATCTGTATCCATACAATTTCGTGCGGAATTTGTGCTAAACACGTGAACGGGCCTCGAGGCGTGTGAATCGGAAGAAAAACCAACAAAACAGACTTGGCCGTCAGCATAAATACCAAAAGTCGCAGTTATAAGATATTCAGATTCAGATATCTGGCCTAGCCCATTGCATAATAGGCGAATGCGAGGGGAAGCGAAAACAAAAACAAAACTTTAACTAAAGCCAAAGCCAAAACCGAAAGCGAATCTGAATCTGAGCCAGAGCCAGAGTCTGGGCTTGCGTCTGAATATGAATCTGGTTTTTCCGCTGGCGCTGTTCGATTGGTTTTAAGTGCGGCTAAAAGCCATTTTCAATTGTAATTGCTGCGGCTTTTAGGCGAAGAAACGAGGCAGCGTAATGAGCAAAAATTAAAAAACAAAAGAACACACACACTCATTCATACGAGCCAAGAAGGTTTGGCTTGGCTGCGCTTTGGCGACGCCTAACGGCATTAATCAAAAGACTGAAGACACAAACTTGGCAGTGCCTCAAAAAGAGCAGGCAACACACACGTCTGTGCGTGTGTGTGTGCACATCGCTTGGTGTGTTTTCTATTTATGACGAACCGCCATAAAAATGATGCCAAAAATAAACGCTTACTCGCTATAGAAGCGTGCGCTAATAGGCCATCATTTAACTGTGAGGCGTGGCAAGTGTTACAATCGCATTTGGTCGACAGGAAGTGGAATATGTAATACCAACAGACAACCTAATAGCCCATCTGAAAAGGAAATAATACTAAATCTACTCATACCAATGTAGTGTCTTTTGGCAGGGTATCCAACAAAAATTGGCTTGTGTCCAGCTAAATACCAAACCAAATGAAGTCTGTCTATTGCTATTGAAATCGGTTCTTATGCAAAAAACAATGAGATTAAATAAGATAATCTTCATAATACGATCATTTTCAAAGATCATCTCTAGAAAAAACTTTTCATAGTAAATTCCGTAACCATCCATCACCATAATTATGTGCTTCACCTCCACTCCAGTTAATCTCATATATTTCAAAGTTAATGACGTTGTCTTAGAACATTTAACCAAATATATTCCCACAGCTCAGTTCCAAACAGAGTTGTTGCTAGGCATCCACTACAGAATCATTGAGAAATCAATGGCCATTTGGTACACGGTTTTGGCACAAATCAAACTTGAAATCGCACCCACGTCTAGAACGAGGCGTTGAACCAACCAACCATGTGGGTGGCTGTCCCGATGACGACGACTGCGAGATTTGGCTGGTCGTGTGGGTTGGCAAGGCAAAAAGTTAAATATGTATGTATTCGGACAGCAAACAAATTGAAAAGTGTAAAAAATGCCAGACACCTACGTGCACATCGCATTCTGTGATATAGATACACCGATTTGTAGCCAACGATACGTACACATTTGCCCATTCAAAGTCGGAAATTTTGGCCATTACGTAATGCCCTAAACTAGGTGTGCTAGCTGGCCCTCTTCTGCCTTTTAAAGTCACGACAACACTTTCGATATTTACCTGCTGACCAACTGAGTAAACTAGGGAGCTGATTGGTCTTTCCCATAACCATTCCCATTACCCATTCCCCTGACCAATTCCACAACCAATACCATTATCATTACCATTCCCATGACCTTGCCGCCAGCTGAATCTATAGAACTCACTGGGGAGGAGTGGGGCTCATTCCACTCCGCTGGCGAGTGCAACTAATTAGGTTCATTGCCAATGTCAAGTGTCAGTAAATGACATCAGCCACGGGATCAGTCATAAGTCGGAGGAGCAATTCATTAATTTCCACTTTTTGCTGTCCCCGCCGGTTAAATTATTCCATCCAGGCCACGCAGTTATGTCACTGAGAAAAAATACAACAATGAAATCTGCGCTTAAAATAAATTAAAGTACGAATTGGGTTACAGCAAAGCTGGGTACTTAAAAATGTAATTGATGTTTTAAGGGGCATTCATTAGCAGAGTTACTAGTTTGATTCCGTTCGTCAGCTGTCTGTTGCAATACTAGTCAGCCATATTTTCTCGCTCTGTATTCTCCTGTAGGGGCGTCAAAAAAGTGCTCAAGCCACAACTCATCGCTGTGCTGAGCAAGTGACGAGTGATGTCATCCCAGAGTTGTTTACCTCTCCGAAAAGTGTTTGTCAATAAATAGTATTTGTATTTGAAATCTGCATACCAACCTCGCTCAGAACTGGACGTGCTATGATATATGCGAGCTGTGGCAACTGACTTGTTGGAAACGCAACCGGATTTCCTATAATTAAGTTGGTTAGACGGTCATTTGACGCCTCGTTGTCTTCGCGTCGCGATGCGACGCGGTGTGGAAAAATGCCAAAAAGCCCATTCAGATGGCCAACTTTCGGTTTGCACAAATTGTTAGGGTAAAAGTGCGACAAGTGAAAACGGGCGAACAATTGACAATTGATCGTGGCAGATTTCATTGCTGTGATTACGGCCATTATCTTCTGGGGTGGCTCCCACGTTTACACACATGTTGGCCTTCTAACGTTTGTGAAAGACTTGCTCAAACAGCAACATTCACGACATCCACTGGCATCCACAGCACTGCCCACCAGATCTGCTCGCTTTTTGCTTTTTGTTGCCGCGGCGAAATTCCAAACTAAGTGATTTCTGTTATTTTACAGACTCTTTTTTTTATTATTTCGCCTTTTTGTTATTTTTGTATTCAATTTTCCTTTTCGCTCGCTTCGTTTTGGCTTGGAAGCGACGAAACCAGTTTTGCTTTATAGCCAGATTCAGAGATATTCGCACACACACACACACTCACACCTTCGCTCGCGAAACCCCCCGCATTTTTTTTTATAAGTCCCCTGCTGCTCTCTGGAGCTTTGAGCTTTGGCCATGACGTCATCGTTTGTTTTGGCCAGCCCCAGAGAGCAGAGCCGTCCAGATCGCCCAGCTAAGCGCAGTTCCAGTTCGCTTCGGGCCGCGAGCGCGTGCAAACGAAACTAAAACTGATACTGAAATCGAAACCAAAACTGAACAGCATAGCTATTACAACTAGAACCGATCAAAAGTCTACCACTTAACCATTTCTCCCGATCAGTGTTTGAACGCG